TTTCCTTGAGCTTCAAAGACAGAAGTCTGATTTGCCACTGAAAAACAAGCGTGTGCATACACAACTGGTCAGATCTACCATTAACCACTGGCAAGTATAGACAGGTACATTTCCTGGTGAAGCAAATGTTAGATAAAAGAATAAGACCTATTTGTCATTTAACACATTGTGTTTCGTTGCATTCATTAGACTGAAGTGGATGAACAACTTGCCAAATTAACCTTCTCTTTCATAATGAGCTTTACATGAGGTCCCAGCATGAAAAAGCCTAAAAACGTGCTCCCAGACTGCATGGATTGAGATTAAAGTGCTTTAAAAAAAACATCCTTCATTGCTACAGATCCAGAGAAGAGCAACAAGGCTGGTGAAGGGACTGGAGCACAAGTGCCCTGAGGAGAGGCTGAGGGAGCTGGGAGTCTTCAGCCTGGAGAAGAGGAGGCTCAGGGGAGACCTTCTCACCCTCTGCAACTCCCTGACAGGAGGTTGGAGTCAGGTGGGGGTTGGTCTCTTCTCCCAGGCAACCAGCAGCAGGACAAGAGGGCACAGACTCAAGCTGTGCCAGGGGAAGGTTTAGGTTGGAAATTAGGAAGAGATTTTTTTATGGAGAGAGTGATCAGGCATTGGAATGGGCTGCCCAGGGAGGTGGTGGATTCACCATGCCTGGAGGTTTTCAAGGGGAGACTGGATGTGGCACTTAGTGCCATGGTCTAGTAACCACAGTAGGGTTGGACTTGATGATCTTGGAGGACTTTTCCAACTCAGGTGATTCTATGATCTGCCAAAAGCACGAGGTGCACTTTCATGTCTTTGTACAGAAAAAAAGAAACCAGAATCCAAACTTCAGGCCAAACAAATTCAAACCACATGGGGGATGGTCTGCCCTGCCATGGCTGCAGGGAGAGGACTAGAGGGAATGGCCTTGAGCTGAGCCAGGGCAGAGTCAGATTGGATGTGAGGAGAAATGTTTTCCCTGTGAGGGTGTTGAGGCACTGGGATATTGCCCAGGGAGGTGGTGGAGTCACCATCCCTGGAGGTGTTGAAGAGGCATCTGGATGTGGCACTGGAGGATCTGGTTGAGGGTTTAGGGATTCCAGCAGTGACAGGCTAATGACTGGACTTGATGGTCTTAGAGGTCTTCTCCAACCTTGATGGTTCTATGATTGGCAGATTCTTGGGAATAATAAAACAGATTTGGCCATGAAATTTTGTCTTTTTTTTTTTTTTTTTTTAGTGATACATAAACAGGAAAAACCCACATGACTCGTGAATGATTTGGGCACTTCACAGCAATATGCTTTGAAAAATAAAATGCAGATTGTTAGAGTGGAACCAAAGCACAGCTCTGTATGTAAGTGTTAGTTATAGACGACCAGGATGAACAGTTAGAGAGGACAGATGCACCACGTGAAGAAAGGGGATATTTGAGACAACATTCAGAACGAGCTGCCACACTAAGCTTTCTGCATTTCAGTAGCTGATACAAAAACCTTCTATCCAGAGGGTTGTAGGACTACAACTAGACTTGCTGCAACCTTAGGAAACAATGCTATGAGCTTTTAATAGAGAGGCAATGATTCCATTTATTCTGATGTAAACACTTCAGCACATGAACACTTTAGTATGTACATTAGCTTATGGCTTGGTTTAAATTCCCTTGTATCTTTTAAGTAGAAACACTAAAGATAACTTTTTAGCACCTTTTAGGTAGAAACACTAAAGATAACTCTCGCTTTAGAAAGGAAAATGTAACATTAAAGCTTGAAAACACTTAAGGTTATAGAAACTATTATTTTCACAAAACATCTGTGGTAAGAGGAGCTGCAGGAGTAGGTTTTAGCTTGCTCCAGTCTAAAGGGGAGAGGGAAGCAACAGAAACATTCTATAGACACCAACATCTCTGAACAGTTCTTGAAGCAGAAGAAGATATAGAAGAATACATACTTCACAGCACACTCAATTTCCTGTAGGTGCCAACTACATTAAACAAAGATCACACACTTAGGTCAAAAAGGGTCTTTCACTTCAGCACTTGGGCTCCTCTGGGAAGCAGAGAGGAAGAGGAAGGAGGCATGGGGAGAAGAGCAAGCGATAAGTTACGAGTTTGTGCTGTCCTTTCCCCCTGTGCAATAATTAAATATTAAAGTCACAGTCTAGCAAATGCAAAATTTATTTCAACTGTACATAACAGATGTCCTTTTTTGATAGAAAACAGAACACTGACCCGATATATGCAAGCACGGACAGAATGCATACTGTACAGTACAATGCAACATCCAGATATACAGCCAGTTTGAGTTTTCCAAAGGCAGTCACCTACTGGAGCTGGCTCCTCCCAGTCACAACGAAGTGCACAATATAGAGCAGTACTTGGGCTATGCTTCACGTCACTACATACACAGCACTGTGTTTTGGCAAGATGATGCAAAACACCCAATTCCTATTGGTTGGTTTCCAGTCATGGCAAACACTAAATTCATGGGCACACCATGTGAGCCACGTGGAGAGGGGCTGACCATGGCTTGAACCTACCTTCCAGTGGAGATTCTCCGTCCTCCCAGTGTATTTGGAACTGTACACATACAATTTACACAATTGCATAAACATAAGGTATTGTTATTACCAGGACTAAAGTTCCACAAGAATAGAAACACTGAACCTTTGGACTGAATACCACCATTGTCACATTTGCCTTTTCTTTGTCTGTTTGAAGCATTTTGCATTCATACTCCTGCTCAGTTCACAGCCTGCAACACTGAAGACACAGAACAGTTTCAAGTGTGTGATGTTAAAATGAGGATACAGAACATGAGAGATCCTAATTGTGGTAATAGGTCATGACTTCAATGCTACAGTAATTCATGGTGGTAAACTGTCAAAGCTTTGGTGCATAGAAAGTCAATAAAGTCTTCAGATCTGGCTAACAAAACTTTCTGAGTGATAAGGAAAAGTTCAAGTGCAACAAATGTATTACAAACTCATATTTACACTATATAACATGAAAGAGACATAAAGGAATTATTGTTTATCCAAGTGCAGAAAACATTATTCAACTAGAACACCACAGCATAAGTAAACAGGGCAAAAAACAATCCATACTTTCCATATATGTTAAAAGGAAACCAAACCAAAAACTGACTGAAAGGAAGAGGGGAGTGAAGTGGGTTACAAATGTGCTGTGAAATGGTATGGAGCACACATACTCATCTCCTTGCTCTAAGCAACACTCCTCCATTTGAAACGGAGTCAACATATGCAAGTTCCTGGTCACTGCAGCAATTCATGACTGAAAACACAGCCCTAAGAACCCTCCTGCTGCTTTGGTCAGTCACATTGCTGAATGTCAACCACAGTAAGAGGATAATGTGGGCAACCAAACAAGACTGAAGGCAGATCTCAAGATGTGAACTGATCTGAAACAGCTGCTCCATGCTGACCACCTTCTGCAATCATGCACGTCTAGCAACGACTAACTTCCTGACCATGGAACCTGCAGAAAGGCATCGATTATCTTTACAACAGTGTGATCAAGTTCCCAGGCTGCAGTTAACTGCATCATGATTAATCTGAACTTGTCCCTAGAGTAGTGTCTGACCACTGGGTAACATGGTGTGAAAAGGGGTGAGGGAGCTGCCCTTGGGAACCCTGGTGAACATGAGAGCTGTTTCTGTCCTTCCATCACTTCCATCATACTCTTCCCTAATGCTAACAAAGATTCAGCAAACATGTCATTTTTGTGCTGATGCCAATTACTTTAGCAACAAGACAGAACACACACACACACACACACACACTTCACCGAAGCAGTGCCCCAGGGGCAGGTTTGAGACCTTCAGCTGTGCACAGCATGTCACAGTTGACTGAAAAGCCAATAGGACTAAGTGAAGAGCTGCTGCAAACAAACCTGCTCATGAGAGAAGTTACAAGACACAATAAAAATCCATCACAGACATGCTCCAAACAGTACAACCCAAAAGCCAAGCATTCTATTATTCAGAACTTCAAACAAGCCAATTTGATCACAGTTGTACCTAGAGTTTCAGCTGCTGCACACTGGAGCCTCCATCATCGTGGGAACCATTTTCATCTGGTCTTTTCAAGGAGAATGGTCAATTGAGAGTTGACAGCTGTGTATTTTAACAGGCAAGTAAACATCTAAACCCTCCTTTCTGCCACGCTACTGCATACAGCAAAGTGACAGTATGGCCACAGGTAACATGAGAGCACCAAAACACTGTGTGTAATGAGCATGGACTGCCAGGTTTTCATGACAACTGCCAGACTGGGGTGGGGGGAGAGCAGTGAGGTCCTTCATATCAACATCTGAAGCAATGAGCAAAAAGACAGCAGTATAAAACCAGATTTTTTTTTATGGGTCAGCAAATGCTCTTCCAAACAAATAGGTCAGGTATGTGGATATCTGAATGATTTTACAGCTCTTGTACTGCTTGGTTTTGTTTGGGTTTTTTTTTGAAGCTGCATTTTTCTTACTCTACCAGCTTTGAGTTTTGTTAATAAGGTGTAGAAAATCCAACCACTACCACTAAGGTATTTCCAGGTAGCTGGCACTCAGCTCATAAACCAGTATGGTTTCAGTACAAAGTATAAAACGTGCTGTATCCAAAAGAAAACAAAAAAGGAAATAAAGGACCTGTTACTACACTGACCAAGTCAAAAAGGAAAAAAAAAAAGACCATTCAGAGCTATAAATTAACATCTGTCAGTTAAAAAAAACCCTCAGGAAATATCATCCTTAACAGGATATACACCTTTTAGAATTACTTCTTTGTATGTGTATTGAATTGGCAATAAGAGCCTTTCCACCAGGTATAACTGAAGTTTCAGGAGCTCCCTCAGAAGTTGTTAAAATATCACATTAAAGAGACAAGGAACAGCAAGAAAACATCTAAGAAAAGCAGGCTGTGATACAACAAGCATTTTGTTAAGAAAAAGCTCAGAAGTGCATTAGTTCTGGTGAGAGATATATGAGCAACAGCTCTTACGAGATGTAGACCCCATTCTGTAACTATGGGCTGTCCATATACTGTCATAGTCAGAGTCTTCTGAGAGGTCTGAAGGCTCCAAACGAGAAAGACTACTGCGACGACCCAAGGAGTCTAGACTTGATTGGTCATCATCAGCCAAGACGTGATTATGCATCAGGTCAGTGCCTTGCCATGCTAAGGATGTACAGGTGGAATGAAATGGTGGATGTGGATAGGCAGAGGTGGGATGAGGAGGAGAACGTAAGGAATAGCCACAACCAAACACATGAAATAAAAGCAAAAAGGTGATGGGAAGAGAAGGAAAAGAGAAAATATTGTTAAATAAAGCACCAAAGTTTTTTTCTTTTTTTTTTTTTCTTTTTCTTTTGTTTGTTCTTTTTTTTTCAAATTTGGGGGTTAAAGTATAAATTACACTCAGCATATAATCATCTTTGAACTGTTACAATACAATTTTGAAGTGGTTTTTAAGCTTCTAAGCAGCCTCAGTTGAGAATTTTGAATGACAAAATCTTGTTGGAAAGCAGATTTTTAAATTTTATTTTTTAAGAGGAAGTTTCTTTTGAAATCCAGTTCTGATCTGGGGGGATTTGACTGGGCACAGAGCAATAAACACAGTAAGCCAGCATGATCCAGCGCTGATGTGAGAAGCAACAGCCCCTTCCCTACCTCACATCTGTACCTCCATCCTTTCCCTCCCTTGCAATGACACAGCCTTTTGTACAGCTGCTTGGTGAGCCAGGCCAGGAAACAGCATCAGAGCAAAACCAACCCTAGAAAAATTCTTTTTCGAGCAGGGAGGTTCCCCAACCAGCTCACAACACAGCCACAGAAGTGCTTGTGTCACCACTGTGACGAGGAAAATGCAGGGGGAAAAAGCAAAGTTTCTCATGCAGAGCAGGGCCGCTGATTTCTACACCAGCAGCAACACCTTGCACCCACTGGAGGTGAACATCAAAGTGCAGTTTTTCTGTGCCTGCACTTGTTCTTTGTTCAACCATGTGGTATATAACTCACAGTCAGGGCCAAGAGGCTAACAGCAACACAGCCTAGCCCATTCCAACCCTTCACACAGCTCCTCCTACACACCTCTGTCTGAATCCTCTTCCCAATTCATCACTTTAGATGTCTAGGATAGGAGGTCAAACACAGCTAAGGATGCTGGGTCTATGTGCAAAGGCCTGGCAATACACAAGGACTCCAACCATGTGTTGGCCATGCTATGAGCCAATACAAATATGATATGGCAAAAGGTTTTAAGTCTTTGTTTGGAGCAGAAATCCAAAATAAACCCAGTGTACAAAAAGCACAAGAAAATGAAACTCTGCTCTTTCATTTCCATCTGTCTCCCCAAATAAAACCCCATATCCTTCCCATCCAAACCACTGAAAAAGATGGTGTCTCTAATGCCACACCTCACCAGCTGGCACTGCTGGCACAGCTCTGCTGAGCTGACACTGCCAAAAGCAGCACCCCTGGGCTCTGGATTATGGCACAGGCAGGAGAACTGCCCAGTGCATGTAGTGAGGGACAGGCAGAATGTCACGGAGAATTTCCCAGTGTTTTGAAGGACAGGCATAATATTAAGGAGAATTGCCCAGTGAGGGCAGTGAGGGACAAGAAAAATATCAAGGAGAATTGCCCAAGGAGTGCAATGAGGGACAGGCAGAATATCAAGGAGAATTGCCCAATGAGTGCAGTGAGGGACAGGCAGAATATTTGCACGGAGGTAAGAATGGAGCATGTAAAAAAAGGACATACTTCAGGGACGACAGGTAACTCATTCTATTACTCTACACTGACTACTGCTCCTACAGAAGCAATTCCAGGTTGATTGGTTCTTCCTCCACTTCCCATTCCAGTGTAGAAAGGGATCTGCTGCAAAAGACCTCAGGTCTCAAATGACAACACTACTCTGCCCAAACAAAGCAGCTGTGTGCTTCACCAATAAAACCCCCAAGTGTTTCTTGCTGCACTTAAGAGCAAATAAAAGCTGCTGACTTCTGATGTATGCAATGACACCCACAGCACTATGTATATTTCTTAAATATACATAGAAAGGGGAAAAAATAGGCAAGCAGAAAAAGAAATCGTATCTGTTTTGTATCTGCACACACACATACACTACTACTGTGCAAGTGCAAATGTTTTCCCAACCATTTCTTGTCACGTCATTCTTGGAAAGGATCAACAGATCACAGCTGAGGGGTTTAACCAGCAATATCTCACAGAATTTTGTTTGGAACAACAGTATATCTTCAGGGCTTTGAACACATTCATTCCCTTTCACCCAATTAAGCACACTACCAGAGTGACTGTAGGGCTATCAAAAAGGTTAGTATTAGCAAAACCAATAGGCAAGAGTGGCTCATTCGGTCACCTTGCAGACCTACACAGGTCATCAGGACATAAAAATTACAGTGAAGGCTTTTGCTGTTACTTAGCTTCCACAGTCTAATGCAGTGGTCATATTCCCATGTGAGGTTACATAGGAATGCAAAGTAGTTGTATTTTGTTTCAAGGTGATAATAGCAAGTGAACTCATATTGGGAAAATCCATGGACTCAGTCTGCAATTGCATTTTGAGTCTTCTCCACTGTCAGCATAAAGTGCTTTTTCCTTGGAAGCAAAACCGGGCCCAGAGCACTGGAGACAGCAGTGACAGTGATGACTGCTCCAAATTGAAACAGCTTGAGTGGACAAGAAGTTATGATGTCCAGTCTTCTAGCTCCTGACAACAGCAAAACCAGCCAAGTACTTCCAAGATCATCATACTGTGTTCCAACGATCTCCAAATTAAATCTGTATTCAACAGAGCACAAAGGACCAAACGCAACAGCATTTTCTCCTTCCTGGTGTAAATGGAACACATGCTGGTGGACTCCCCTGCTCTGAGCAACGTGTTACTTACAATACAGAGGAACTCCACATGGCAACCTTGATTTGGCTTAAAGGAAGTAGGACCCCAGAGGCACGTTACAGGTTTTCAATATGCTACTGAGCTGGGAAACTAGAAATGGCTTTAAGCGACACACAGAGCTGAGAACAGTTTCTCCTGAAATCATGAGATGGGGTTAAAACTTTCAAATTCATGCTAAAAACAACTAGTGGTAAGAAAAGAAAATCACTTTTTATAGGTCTAGGTACCTTTGCCATAGAGAGAGCCTTTGTTGAATAGAACACAACAAAAATACACTCCAAAATTAGGACAACTTTTCCATTCCTCCTCTCTACTTACCACCTGTTGGCATTTACCCAAAAGCACATTGATTACCCCTCAGATTCAGCTCAGACACCTCATTCACTGCTGAAGGTTTAGTACCATTTTAAATAGTGGCAATTAGTCACTTTTTGGGTTTTGCTGGTTTGGATTGTTTATAAACACTGAAAGAACAGTGTCTCAGCATGGATCCAATCCAGGAGCACTTGGCACTGGGGTCAGACCAGCAACAGCCTATCACTCCTTGGCAGCTCCAGCTATTCACAAAGGTTTGAGAACACACAGCACTTTCCTTTGCATACCAGTGTTTCACTTAGCCATTTCTACCCATTTTAGGACTTTGTGACTTACTTGAGTTTAGTGTTTGACGAGTTTTGGCACTTGTGCAATATGCTTCAATGACTTTGAGAATTTGAGCATCTTCTTCTAAAGCAGCTGTACCTGGAAGTCAACAGGAAAAACATGGTCAGGTTTCTTCATACAGAAAAGCCTTTTGTAGATCACTACATTTCAGCTGAGTCCAAAGTTCAGCCTAACCAACCCTTTAAAATTCAACCCTTTAAAGTTCTCCTAATCAGATTCTAATTACTGATACAAGGGGGAAGGAGAGTGAATACCAAGAGACTCCTGAACCTCTACTCTCCAACATTTGAGTGATTCTCAATTGCAGCACTTCCATTTTCCCTGTACATTCCTGTAAGGACAAGACATCCTGAACTAAAATATCCACTTGCACATTCATGAAGAGAGGATCACTACCTTAACCTTTGCCATATAAAGTTCTCAGCACATTCAGAAGGACTAATGTGTTGGACAAACCAACAGCAACAAGAAGAAAAGCTTTTTCTCTCCAACCCTAAGCCAGTGAGAGACAATGGTCACAAAACACACTTAGAATCACAGAACCATCAAGGTTGTAGGAGACCTCTAAGATCATCCAGTCCAACCATTAACTTGTCACTAGTCAAACCCCTAAACCTAAACCAGATCCTCCAGTGCCACATCCAGACACCTCTTCAACACCTCCAGAGACTCCACCACCTCCCTGGGCAATATCCCAGTGCCTCAACACCCTCTCAGGGAAAACATTTCTCCTCACATCCAATCTGACCCTGCCCTGGCTCAGTTTATCACTATTCCCTCTAGTTCTCACTTCATGGATGTTCAAACTCTCTCAGTTCAGTGTTGTTCTTCACACCTCAAGCAGATAAAGCTCTGCCATTTCTTTACATACAGACATGAGCCAATGGCCTTATATATAGGAGATCAGAGCAGACCATTGGATCTTAGTAGGAGTGACCATAGAAGCAACTCATCTCCCAGTCAGCAGCAGTAATCAGCTTTCAGCAGAAGCTCCTACCAGGATCAATCTAAGAACACGGCTAGAAAGTGTTCTGCAGAAGTGGGACAGTATCTTCACATCTCACATTTGGGGGTTGGAACTAGAGGACCTGTGAGGTCCACTCCAACCCTTAAATTCTATGATTCTGTGATCTCTGTTTATACCAGTAAAAGACAGGGTTGCCTTACTGAACTTTACATTGCTCTATGGTCAACCTCACTCCCCGCTAACAAACTGATAGAGATAGGGACTTCACAGCACCCATCACATCAGTGGCTCATACACAGCAAAGCTCTACAAAGCAGCTAATGCCATTGCGGCATAAGCACCTAAGGTGAATAAAATTAAAAACCATAGATTCATAGAATTTTTAGGGGTTGGAATGGACCTTAGAGATCATCCAGCCACAACCCCCTGCCCTGGGCAGGGACACCTCCCACCACACCACATTGCTCAAGGCTTCAGCCAACCTGACTGCCAGGGTTGGGGCAGCCACAGCCTCCCTGGGCAACCTGGGCCAGTGTCTCACCACCTTCACAGAGAAAATTTCTGTCAAAGATCTAACCTCAATTTCCCTCCTTCCATTTGTGCCCATCACCCCTTGTCCTGTCCCTGCAGCTCCTAACACAGAGTCCCTCTGCAGCTTCCCTGGAGCCCCTTCAGCTCCTGGAAGGTGCTCTGAGGTCTCCACACAACCTTCTCTTCTCTAGGCTGAACAGCCACAACTCCCTCAGCCTGTCTTCATAGGAGAGATGCTTCAGTTCCCTTAACAATTTCATGGCCTCCTTTGCACTTGCTCCAACAACTCCATGTCCTTCTTCTACTGAGGACACCAGAACTGTGTGCAGGATTCCAGGTGGGGCTCAGGAGTGCAGAGGAGATGGGGAGAATCACCTCCCTTGCCCTGCTGCCCACACTTTTGTGAATGCAGCCAGACCTGGGTTGGTTTCTGGGCTGAGCTCACACTGCAGCTCATGGGGAGTTTCTCACCCACCATCACCCCCAAGTCTCTCTCCCCATTGCTGCTCTCAATTCCTTCCCCACCCAACCTGTAGCTGTGCCTGGGACTGTCATGACCCAGGGGTAGGACCTTGCACTTCATACTGTTGCCCAGTCATCAAATCATGCCCTGGAGATACCTACCCTTCTCCCCTGACAGGAGAGAGGAAACCAGCTGACTTACACTGCCCATCTAACCTGGGCACAACTGAAACTGATGTTAATTGCAGCCTTTGCATTATGCAGACATTTGTTCAAGCCTCTCTTACTTTTTCTCAGTGCAAACTCCTCATCCGAAGGTTTCCGTTCTGGCTTGCGTTTGGGAAGCAGCTTTTTCATGGTTTTGGGGCTTTTACTGAGATCCTGTATGTGAAAAAGAAAAACAGAGTAGAGCTTCTCTACAACACTTCAAAATTCAACTTCTCAGCTGCATATAGGAATTAACAACTCAAAACCTTTTAACAGCACTGAAATTCAGTTTACTCATCTTGTTTTGCCACATTCAAGTTGCTTGAATTGGCTGATTTCCTCCCTACTCTTCCCTCCAACTAGATACGAAGTGTTTTATCTGGTCTATTAGCAGTGACATACAGTAATGCTGCTGGAAAAGCATGCAGGCTGCTTGGGAGCTAGAGACAAGGGAAGAGGGAGGAATACCCTTGAAGAGACAACCCATTTCACTTCTCTACTTACCACTAGGTAATAAAAGACCTAACAGGGAAGCCTGGCAGGGAGTGTACTCTTCAAAGCTAAGATCTGGAAATGTTTAGGCCTGTTCTTATAATTCTCTACAGCCCAAAATAAATCCAAACCCAGTAACAAACAAAATCCAGCAGCATTTCTGCTCAAAACGTGGTCAGGCTGATTTACAGGAACAACACTAGGTCTTGGGAGCAAAAGGAATATGTTGGTCTACCCTGTGCCTTAAGGATTTATTTTCTATATAAATACAGAACAAGGAAGTAAAAAGGTGAATGAGCAGGACAGACCAAAGAAGATGAAGATTTTAGAATCCTAGAATTTAAAGGTCGGAACGGACCTTACAGACCATCATGCCCTGCTATGGGCAGGGACACCTGCTCACTAGATGAGGTTGCTCAAGGCCTTTGAACATCATTGTATGAGGAACACTGTAAAGATGACTGAAAATTTATTCACTTGGAGAATTTCATGACCTGCACATTAAAGCATGAAAGGAGTGCTCAGAGAGGTTGTGGATTCTCCCTCACTGGAGGTGTTCAAGAACCGTCTGGACACAACACAACGCCGTGTGCTCTGGGCCGGCCCTGCTGCAGTAAGGAGGTTGGACCAGATGACCCACTGTGGTCCCTTCCAACTTGACTGATAATGGGATTTCAACTAAAATTACAAAATAGGCATATAGTCCATCCAAACAGAGGAACCTCTTGTAGCAACTAGGCCTCAGTACTAACCCTGCACAAGAAAAGTCATGTACAAAACACACTCAACCCAACACAGCCAGGTCACACTGGGGCACAGTGTTTAGGCTATAGGTTCTAAGAATCTGCAACTTCCAGGTCTGCAGAATGAAATTTTGCTGTACACATCTCATGCCTGCAGGTTAAAAAGCTCTTAGGCATAGCTGCAGGATCCCTTCTGGGCCTTGGTGCTCTGCATTGCATTAGTCTCATGAGAAAGCAAGACAAAGGCACTAAAACAGGAGAGATCACCAAGCTGCAGAGGATCCAGAATTCTCCTCCATGCAAATTTCCAACATAAATCTAACATTTCCTTATTCTTGACAAAACCAGGCAAAATGTAGTGGCAGGACCAGGTTAACCTACCTAAACCCACACCTTTTATTTCTCTTGGAACACATTCCCATTTCATACCATAAGGTAATTAAAAAACATGACAGCATCTTGAAATCTAAGCTTTCCTTCCTGCTAATAGTAACATTAGCCATAAGATTCCTTGGAGGACAATAACATTACATGCATTTTGCCAGTTCCCATTCTGCTCTTCTAGAAACAGTCTACTGTTACCTAGTAACAGCAGTAAATACTGAATTATACCACCACAGCTCTTTGGAATGATTTGATAGAGCACTCAGAAGCATCAAGGATCCCTTATCCTAGACACTCTGCAGTGTGCTTAGCAAATACCTTGGACTGTAATAAGCCTAGACGACCAACAGAAGTGAATTCTTAGCCAAACCTAGCCTTTGTGTTCTCTGAACCATAAGACTAAATTCCAGCATTTACTGGTCCATTCCCATTGATTCAGCACTGGATGGAAAATCATCTTTCATAGAATCATAGAATCATCAGGGTTAGAGGAGACTTCTAAGATCATCCAGTCCAACCCTTAACCTGTCACTGCTGGAATCCCTAAACCAGATCCTCCAGTGTCAGATCCAGATGCCTCACAAACTCCTCCAGGGATGGTGACTCCACCACCTCCCTGGGCAATATCCCAGTGCCTCAACACCCTCACAGGGAAAACATTTCTCCTCACATCCAATCTGACTCTGCCCTGGCTCAGCTCAAGGCCATTCCTTCTAGTCCTCTCCCTGCAGCCATGGCAGGACAGACCATACCACACCTCTCTCCAACCCTGTCAAAGAGTTGGAGAGAGCCATAAGGTCACTCCTGAACCTCTTCTCAAGGCTAAACAGCTCCCTCAACCCTTCTAAATACAACGTTTTCTAGACCTGATATCTTTATATTACATAAAAACATGCACACAATTGTACAATGGAGGTGTCTGAACAAAGTTCAAGCCTCCCATGGTAGACCTGCCACACACTCATATGGCTTTGCTGG